GGGGGGGGGGCAGGTGGGCGGTGAGGGCGAGAACGAGCATGCGGTAGCAGGGGAGGTGGGAGGAGGAGGATAAGGGAACGCGCGCGCGAAGGGGTGGATTCGCGAGGGCGAGAGAAAGAGGAGCGACGCCGAGAAACGAGAAACGTTGTCGAGGGTGTGAGCGATGCGAGAAGAAAGGCGGCGAATACGCGGGGTCGTGCGANTGCCTCGGAGAGGAAGGGCAAAAGAAAGGGTGGGAGGGAGGGAGGGAGGGAAGGAGAGAAAGAGAGAGAGAGAGAATGGACGGCGTAAGGAAACGCGTGACACTAATCGGGTATCGACTGTATACGTGGAGAACGTGGAGAGCGGGGGAGAGGGCGGAGAAGGACTCGCAGGCGTGAAAGGATTCGATACGCGGGATACGTTAGAACTAGATTCTAGCGGGCTCGGGAGCCGCGGCATGCATAATGTTTGTGTGAAATTACCTGACGAGGTACGAAGGAGAAGAGGAGGAGGAGGAGATGGAACGAGAGAGCGAGATGGGAGCGCGATGAAGTCGTGCGCGACGCGTACGCCTTGCCACCCTCTGCCGGCTCATTTTTTTTTCATTATTATTAATTAGCATAAGATAACAATGTCGCAGACGAGCGAGAGAGAGGCCCTTGATAGATCGTTCGCTGGGAAATTTCACTCGCCGATGCCTCACTTTCCTGAAATAATAATAACGTCATCATTAATTATTGCAGAGTAAAAAACTGGGCCTTAAAGTTTGGCGTGGATCTATGGGAGTTCGGTAAACAAGTAACTAAAATGGGCGAGATACAGAGAGTAAGATAATATACTTAGTCTATCTATATGTATATGTATATATATGTATATGTATATATATATATATATATATATATATATATACGTGTATGTGTATGTCCAATAATTCCATCCCGAGAGATTCCGAATCTTCTCGTTAAGCAAAAAAATCTTCGTAGTAGACGTATCGCCGTTAAACCCGCTGATTTTTACTACTTCCCGCTTAGAAATACCACGAGGAGGAGGCCGACATCGCAAGAAAAGACGGTCTTGTCCTCGTTCGAGAAATGGCCGCGGAGGTGAAAAACATGATGGACTTTAAAATGAACGCCGTGATGGTACGCCAACCAATCATTCATATCTCTTTCGTGCTTTTTCACCGGCGAAGACATCTCAGTTTTATATTATTCAGCAAATTAGGGAACCCGCGCGCTTCTTTTCGTCCTGTGTGCGCTGGACAACGTGTGTCGCAGAATCGGCGGAAATGCGCCGTGAATGATCGTCCCTCCCCGTGAGATTTGCCAAGTTACTCGGCCGGCTGTGTGCCAAGGATGACGCGCACATCGCAGATTGAGCTTCGGTGACGCGAATAAACGAACTCGTCGATTAGAACGACTCCTACGCGTAGGGAACGAAAACTTTGTTTGAATCTGCCCGACGATGAACAAACCAGACGCGTTTTAGTCGAAGGAAACGGAACTTTCGGTTTCCCACGATTTCCAAGTTCGCTTCTTACAAGGATATTTGGTTTCCCTCAGCCAAAACGCGCTTGGTTTGTTCATTGTCGGGTAAATTCGACCAAACTTTTATTTTCGTGTAATATCAATTTGCTACGTTTAGTTTCAGATAACGATTGGAATTTTCAAATACCGTGACTGATGACATTTCTTTTGATATTTCCGACCGAACGAGCGTCACTGACCGCCGATTCTGAGACGAGCTCTTTATCGGAGCGCAATCGATACGCATATTCGTCGTCTCAATTCGTCTTAATCGAGAATACATACACGGAAAAAATATCTCCGCTAACTCCGTAACTCAATTAAACAAAAAACTCGGTGATACACGGAGGGAAAAGATTGGTCGAGTTGACGTGACAATGAACGAGCTGAATGTGCTTTAGTTGAAGGAAGCAGAAAATTTCTGGTTTTTATGGGCCAAATTCTCTCCTTAAAACCAGAAATATTGCTTCCTTCGGCGAAAACACGTTTGGTCCATCCATCGTTGCGTTAATTCAATCTTTCTCCCCGTGTAGGAACGGAAGGATCCCTGTAGGAGATTCCTACTCGGCCAATTGCTCCTACTTGTATTTTAACAAGTTTAATGAATTTTAATGCAGCTGAATGTCCACGGATGTTCTCGCGTCGAGTGAACAGAAATATCATTCCTCGTCAACGAGTTCTCCTTTCTCATCACGGAATTTTCATCCGATCCCTGTTCACTTGCAGGAGATTTTTTTATCGTATACGAGGTGTGAGAAAAGTCGACGAAGATGTACAATCGACCCCTTGTTCGGTTGCGGGAGTTAAGATTTTTCCGTGCTTTCGAGGCACGCGGACGAAGCGAGAAATTCATTTTTGCTCTCGCACACACTCACATACCCACCCTCGCACACACACACACCCGCTTGCAACCGCGTCGGTAAACGTGTTGAGCGTTAAACGAATCGGACGATTCTATGCTTAGCGCGGCGAGTAAAGGCGCGAATGCGCAAGACGTAACGTAATTTACGTTCGCAGAGATTAGTGGAGAGCGCCGAGCAGGCCGCGGTGTCGGTGCCGAGAGAAGGGAACGTGTCGCCCAAGTATTACGTCTCGCATCGGCTTAACAACCTCGTCAGCGACGAGAAGGGTTTCGCGCAGGAGATGTTCCTCGCCGCCAATCGTCACTTCGACCACTTGGCGGTGAACGTCACCTTGTCCGCCGTCCTCCTGCCGAACGGAGTTCAAGACAACGGTACGAGAGGAATGTTCCTCCCTGGATCGCGCGATTCTCGCGACGTATCCACCACGTGCTGCACTGCACCCTCCTGTTCCTTTTCCCGTCACCGTTAGAGTGATACGTTTGTTTCTAACGGCAAAAAGTGCACCCCGGTCCAGGTGAAAAGAACAAACCCGATAATTTGTAAGGTTCACAATTAACCAAGTGTACTCAGAGAGACCCGGATACGCGGATGGTCGAGCTGACGACAGCGCCACTTGATCGTCCTTATTCGAGTACGGACTGAACCGGCTCGCTTTGCTTTCAGAACGTGACGTCGCTTCGGGTATCCAGTGGAGCGAGTATCTGGATCTCTTGTTTGTTAATAATTACGAGAGCGACCCTACGCTGTCGTGGCAGTATTACGGAGCGACCACGGGATTCCTGCGTCGCTTCCCAGGTACTCGTCGCCGTGCGTCGCGATGTTGAAGATGTTTCGACGCTGCGACAAAAAGAAAACGAACGCGGAACAAACCACAGCGGGAAGAGAACGAATGAAAAAAAAAAACGCTTTTGTGTCAGTAGAATCGGTCGATAGAATGGTCGAAAAGTTAAAAGGACGTCCGTCCAGTTGGCAGCCGCGAAAACCGTCGAAGGACGAGCGCCGTACAGCAGCGATATCATTGAAACCGATACTCGAGCGCGATGTTTCATTTCGCTTTAAGCCGCGCCATGGAGAGCTGTGTTTGATTTCGCTCTCCGGTTAACGCCGCGTCCTTCACGGACTTATTTCCGACGTTTCGTGAACATTTCCAGTTGACTTCCAGTTGACCTCCAGGGAGAGCCTGACACTCGAGACGAAGGTTGCATTCCGAAGTGTGTTGACATGACTGAGAATCTATACTTCACGTTACGTGTGCTATGCATTTTCAGTATTGTCTGTACTTTCACACATTTTCGGGATGCAACCAATACACGATATATTAGTTTCAACGATACCGTCGTTGAATCGAAGAAGAATTATATTCCAATCACGGCGCCGTTGATCAATTCTACTTATTATTACAACGGTTTTGTCTCGGAATCTCGCTCTTGTCCGCCTCGTCGGGAGGCGGACGAGGGAATAAGAGGCGATGATGTCTTTATGATAACAGCGATATCGTGGCCGCCGGTGGAGGTTACGTCCAGAACGTCCAAGTCCGCCTTGCATCGGACCGCCCGCGACGTGTACGACTTTAGGATGGCGAATTGGTTCGTCGGCGCGGCGAACAGCCCGAAGGACCTGGCGATACTGATAGACAGCGCGACCTACAAGTCCGACCGGAATCGCCGGTTGACCATCGCCACGACCAGGATCATCCTGGACACCCTCGGGCCGGACGACTACGTGAACGTGTACCGATACGGCGAGAACGCGGAGGAGATCGTGCAGTGCTTCAAGGACAGTCTGGTGCAGGCGTCGCCCGAGAACGTCCAGGAGATGAAGATGGCGTTGGGCTCGGTGAAGCACGAGGAGTCCGCGACCAACATCTCCGCGGCGCTCAGCACCGCCTTCGAGATCCTCCACAAGTACAATCGCACCGGTCAGGGCAGCCAGTGCAATCAGGCGATAGTGCTGATCACGTCCGACAACGACGGCGCACCGACGGAGGTGATAAAGCGTTACAACTGGCCGCACATGCCCGTGCGGATCTTCACTTACCTCATCGGCGGCGACAAGAGCCCGGAGCTCCGGAACACCGCCTGCACCAACAAAGGTGAGCCCGGACCTCCAATGGGTGCAGTAAAGTCTTCAGCTTGCTTTTCGCTCCGAGCGATAATATCGTAACGTAATTTCTCACGAAAGGCGTTCCCCACGCTTCCAAAAGTCGCGGTTTAAATCTTGGGAATTGTTGTCACGTCCGGTGTAGCGCGTTGGAGACGCTGTTCGCTAGGAGTGCGTTGCAATTTAACGCTTCGAGCAAGAGGCTGAGTTCGAATCTGCAATAAATCCAGTAAACCTTAAACCGTTCTCTGCTGCGAGCGGTAAAATGTAACGTAATTTCTCGCAAAAGGCATTTCCCACGTTTCCTAAAGTCTCTGGGAATCGCAAACTAACGGTAACGCAATATCAATGTTATAATTTCTCATTCAACAATGTAAATGTGATATAACGTGTGTGTTATGTAAAAGTTACATCGTTAAATGGAAAATTATAACATTGATGTTACGTTATTAATAGTCGGTGTTTATCGGGTCGTAATAACGTTAAATATTAGGAATTGTAATGTCTGGAAACGCTTTTTGTTAGACATTATGTTACAACTTAATGCCTAAAAGTTCTAAAAGAAAGACTTATTACACCTACGGTGAATCTAGCCTAAAGGCTCGTCTATAATACGGATCACTTCCAATCTCAGCGGCCAATCTGTCGCTGAAATTGGAAACGGACCGAATCAAACGACCGCGACTATACGACTCTGCGACCACATTGTTGATCCCGCTTAACGTTGCCGCGCGGATTGCTTGCGATTTTACTTGCTTGCTTGCTTGCTTAAAGCATCATTGTACGTGAAAAACTTTCAGTCGTAATCATGAAGCGGTAAGCAAATTAACCAACCACAGTCGACTATCCTGCTTACCGTCCAGGGATAATCGAGTATGATTGGTCAGTTCGCTTACTGCTTTACAGTTGCGACTAAAATTTATTCACACGTGAAGCGTCTATAATAGTAAGTGTACGTTCATAAAAAGAATAAGAAGAATGACCAATCATATTCGAATGTAAGGAGAATAATCGATTGTGATTGGTTAATTTCTTATTCTTCCTTCATAAAACATACTCCTATTGTAGACCACGTTTAATGACTTTTATTCCCTTACGATCCACGATTGAATTGGATCGGGAAGTGTCTCTGCACCGTAAAAAATTTTGTGACACAGTGAAAAATTTTGCGTCAGAAACGATCTATTGAAATTTTTGTACTATTTTAACACGGGGAGTGTGTTAAAAAGTACTCAAATGTAGTGTTAAATCAACATTGTTGAAGTAACACAAGATTTCAGTCGATCGTTTTTAGCGCAAAATCTCTTACCGCACGGTCGAAAGTTTTTCTGCTCAATCACGGGGTGAAAAAGTTCCTCAACGTCAATGATCGATGACCTCGTAGGATTTTACGCGAGGATAACTGACGCGGAGGATATCCACAACAAGGTCTTTGAATACGTAAAAGTCCTGGCGCGGCCTATGGTGCTTTACCAGCACGACCATCCGATACACTGGAGTCCCGCCTACGTGGGCGGAAAGGTAAGGTGATTTTCTCGCGCGTTGATCGCTCACCAGCATCATTATTTAATTTCTTGCTTATCGCACATTTCGCGCTCGTTGATCGACGTTTCGAACGCGGAGATATCCGGTCCGATATCGCGTGTGCACGAGAGAATCGCAGTCCGCTTTTGTCTTCTCACCGGTAACGAAATTTGAAATTTCAGAGCAGTAGGTACGGCCGAGAAAACCGCGGGCAACTGATGACGTCTGTGACAGCCCCGATTTTAGATCGCCGGAATTACACGGTAATTATTTCGAGAGAGAACAGTAGTATACATGTACACGGAGCTCGCTTTCGACCGCTTTCGTCCGATTTTTAAACCGCGCCCGCGAATGCTATAAATGTGAAGTAATACACAAATAAATTGTACTTCACTGTTTCCTTTTTTTTCTGTGTTATCGTTCGAAGGTGAAAACGGCCAATTTATTGGGTATCGTTGGTACCGACGTACCTGTTGAGGAGATTCAGAAACTCGTGCCGCCTTACAAGGTACAGAAACAACAACGCTGCTTTTAATTCCGTTCGGTTGCGCCGCTGACGCGAACTGAATAAAGCCTGGCTTGGTCACACGCTCTTCTCCTCCTGAAATCAGACGATAAATTAGAAAATTTTGCCCGACTACACAAACAGAAGAACAATTCCGTTAGTGTGTAACTGTAATTTCCTGTCGTTCGGGGACCAGACGAAAACTCTGTTCTACGAACGGAAAAATTCATGTGGGTGTTTTTTATTCGATCAATTGTTTTCAGTCGTCTCGACCGAATTTTAATACAGCTTCCAGATAGAATGAAGAAATGCTGAACGTAGTGTGCAAATATTTAATATATGCTTTGTGATGCCATTGCAACAGCACAACTTGTTTAAAATGTGCCCGTTTTAAGAAATATTCATTTATTACGTCATAATTTTAATCAAAGTATTGATAATTTCAATCAAAGTATTCTTATTACTACAATAATTTTTTATTCTGTTGACTACTTTTTATTTTATTTTAATAACTACTTTTCTATTTTCCATTTTATTTAAATAACTATTTTCTATTTGTGAATTTTGTTTTAATAACTTTTTTTATCTTTCATTTTATTTTAGTAACTATTTTTTCGCACGGTAACAGAGAGATAGTATTTCTTGTATCTCACCCCGAGAGTTTTCATCTGGTCTCCATGCTCGGTCGCAGAAACTGGGTTTTTTTATTTTGTATAAAATTAGTCGCGTCGGTGTGCAACCGTTCTGACGAGTCATTTCCCTTCCCTCGTTATTCAGCTTATTAATACCTTGATGTACGTAATTTCAATTGCAGTTAGGAGTTAATGGATATTCGTTTATTGTTGACAATAATGGCAGAGTTCTGTATCATCCTGACCTTCGGCCTCTCGTAAGTAATTGATACCTTGACACTTCTCGTAGATATGCTGTGAAAAAGCAACCGATATAGATTAACCATCTGTCTGTTTGGCGAACGAACGAGGGTATAACATCGTGTAGTAATTACTTGAATGTTTCACGCAGCCCGGAAATATGGAGGTAAACATGTGTCGGATACTCAAGATATCCGGAAACTATATTAGATTACGCTTCACTCACAACGCACATTTTGATTGATTCACAGACGATTCTTTTAATTGGCCAGAAAAAGGATCCAATCTATAGAGCACATTTCGAGAAAAATGAAGATGAAAATTTGACACACGATTTAAAAAGTATAAATCATACCTAGTCTCTTCACGATCGTTCAAGAAGTCAAGCATGGTCCATTTTCCTCTCTTTAAGGATATTCATTGACAGCTTTGATCTTGAAAAATAGATAAAAAAGATTAAATTAGTAAAAGATGGTACCACTAGTGTAAAATGAAAATTATTTTTCAATTAATTTTAGACGCCCGTAAAGGATTGGATCTTTTTATTTTATATAGAAAGACATATAGACTACTCATTGATAACAAAATCTCAGAAATTATAATTTTCTGAGTTGGATCTTTCTTGCACAACTATTCCAATTCGGCCGATTTTTGATTATTTCAAAGAACATTCTAATCGAGAAGTAATACATGCGAATACGTGACATTTTATAAGAAAACGTGTGTATTTTGCAGTACGAGGAAACACTAAAGCCTTCGTATATAAGTGTAGATCTATCGGAAGTCGAGCTCGCAGAATACGACGGACCTTCCCACTCGCTGAACAACTCGATCTTGCTCGATGTAAGTCTGACGTCATCGCGCGGTCTTATTCGTGTTGTAATGTACGAAACAATATCTCAACGGCATTATTCCTCCCGTACAGCTGAGGCACGACATGATCGATCAAAAGGAAGGAGAAACGGACTTTGCAATCAAAATGCATTACGATGATATGGTGAGATATTGCGAAAAGTTATCGCGCGAGTGAATCGTACTATTCACTATATTTTACAGATATGAAATTCTTGTTTCACGCCGCTCCGTCGTGTGACGACATTTGTTTGTATGTATTTTGCAGAAGAGAGTCACGATTAGACGGCACAACTACTTTTACAAGCCGATCGACGGCACGCCGTTCTCCTTGGGCCTGGCTTTACCGGAAGGCTACGGCATGTTTGAATTGCGGGCCGAAAAGGAAATCAAACACGCTATCATAAACGGTAAATTGCGCTCTCGCTCACTCGCGTCGTTGCGCATTTGCGTGATTCGGGAAACAGAAAAGTCACACCACCGTTGACCGCTGTTGCAGTAACGGAGTTCTTCAAAGGGAACAATTGGAAGGTGCACCCCGATTGGGTGTACTGCGAGTACAATTCGGCTTCCGATAAATTCTTTTCCTCCCCGGAGGAACGCGTCCTGCATTTTTTGACACGGATGCGCAGACCGGGGTGGAAGTGGATGTCCTTGAGACCAAGGAGTCCCAGCTCGCACCATAAGCAGGCGAGCAAGCCGGATAAAGATGCTTATTATTGTAAGTATATTTATTTTTTATTTTATATAACTATTTTTTATTTTACTTAAGCAACCGTTTCTTTTATTTTATTGGACAAACTATTCTTTATTTAATTTCAGTAACTATTTTCTGTTCTTTCATTTTGTTTTGATAACTGTTTTTCTATTTTTATTTCTATTAGTAATTATTTTTGTACCTTTTTAATTTTATTTAAACTAATTTTATCTATTTTTTTATTTTATTTGGTTTTTCATCTGCGGACGGGAAGTTCGGGAAACGAGGGCGGTGCGAAGTTTTCCGATGTCAATTAGAAAGCGAGCCGTACTTATTTTAGCACAAATCAAACGACTTTTCTCGTTAATAACACGGTAGCGATTGAAACGGATGAGACGCGGGAAGTAACACGACAACTGTCGCATTTCAGGCGATAAGAGATTAGTGCAGTCCTTGGTGTTGGACGCCGAGGTGACGGATGGATTCGATAAGAGGACAAGCGGTACGATGCACAAGGAGGAAAATCAAAAGTAAGTTGCGCGTCGGCAGTACGGCAAGTGCACGCCTGTCTTCATTCACCACCAACCACCTACACACACTTCACTGCAAACCGATCGAGCACTGCAATGCACTAGCACGCGGTTTTTTACCACGCACCGAGAGCCAGAATGCCGGAATCACTTTGTAAATTATTACTGTCACTGCCACTGCCTTGATATCAACTGCCCGTGATTTCTTGTTTTGCATAGTCATTTTGCACATGGTGTAGAAGAAACGGAAAATGACGGGAAAGAAATCGACCTCCGTTAGAGACGGAACGAAAGATGCGGTCGTTCTAGAGCGGTCAATCAACGGCGAACGATCGAATTTTTTGACGATCGCCGAACCGATGGTTCGGAATTCCGTGCAGAATTCGGCGAAGCTGCGTGCGTGCGTGCGTGCGTGCGTTTGTACGTTCGTGCGCGCGCGCGTGTGTGTGTACGAGGAAAGTCGCGTGTACACACACACACACACATACACACACATGTACGACTGAAAGATTCCCCAAAGGCGACGAAACAGACCGCACGCACGATTCGTCGTTTTGGGACGCGCGTTTCTCACACCTGACGTGTGTTTTATCTGAGACTCGTACAAATCAATACTCTCTCTCTCTCTCTCTCTCTCTCTCTCTCTCTCTCTTCTATCTATCTATCTATCTCTTTACAATATGCGAAATGAGAACTATGCGCAACGTCCAACATTTCATTTACAATATTATCTTTTATTGCATATTTTTATTACATTTTATTATTGTGTGTCTCCACCGCTAGCCCTATTGCCATACTGATGGCTCTACTGCACAGGTAAATCCATTATGCACAATTATTTGTCTCTAACACGTTAACACGTTTGTCAATGATAATGCACGGTAATACTCATTACTTTGTGATGATCGTATTCTGTTTCGGACTGTGTTCTAACACGCCCGGTATACTCTCGGATGGACGATATGAGAGCGTGTGTGTTAATCGTGCGGTGTATTTCCGGCAATTGTTTCCCGTCTTTGTCTCGAGACTCGTGATTACCGTACGGGTGTCGTGCCCCCGCGCGTTGTAGCACGGAAGCCGTACCGAGCTTTACATTTCTGTTCCGACGACCGTTTCCGCACACGAGTCTACACAGGCTGTGCCAAAATCGTGATGGTGTAATCGAGAAGATTGTGATTCTCTCAGGAGAGGAATAACAATCATTCCATAAATAAGCTCACGGAAATTACGAAGTATGCTCACAAGAAACGTGCAAAATTAAGGCCATATTGAGCACAGCACGGATCGTTTAGTGCTATAATAACGAGATGCGCACCATCATCGTGAGTAGTAAGACTCAGGTCGACATCAAATCTTAATTTATGTAATCAAACGATTCAAACGTTTCGGATCCTCTTCAGTGGACCAATAAGAGTACAATAAACACGATGAAGTAACACCGAAGAAGAACGAGATCTCGAGGTGGTGTGGGAAGTGTCAGAAGCTAAATTCGAAAGGCAGAATCGGGCATGTAAAAATTGCCGGACGGCCTCGAAGTCGTGAGAAATCGCAACGGATGGAATTCCGTCGACTCGTACACGACTATAGTCGGTACACGGGCTAAAACGAAACGCTTGGCAGCCGTCGACTATAGCCGCTTCATTTTCGGAGAGGTCTCGCTGTAAAAAAATAGGCGAATTAAAGGGGAGTCGAGCGATGGGAGAGAGAAAGCTCGGGACGTGTCCGATCTCTCTCCGCGCGCGCACAGCGCTTTCCCTTGAAAATCCGCCTATTCTTTACGCGATTAGCCCGAAGTGGGAAGCGTAAAGAGGTCGTAATGATATCACGTCTGTGGAGTTGTACGATAGTCATTACTTCCTAGTGAGAGGCTACTTGATGAGAGGAATGAACTTTCTGGGCGGAATGGAATCCGCTCACTTTCAGCCTGAAAGACTCGCGAGGCTCTTGATGGCGCGTTGTCATCGAGGGAGATATCATCCTTCCTCTCGATTCCACCGTCGCGCACAAGACACTCTATGAAGTGTGAGGTGATAACTATTACCACTTTGAATATCTTCGGAACTATGAGAGTAAGAGAAAACTCACCTAACGGATTACATGGTGTAGAAACGGCGGTCTTATATGGCGGTTGTAACGATTCTTTTCTAGGCGGAGCAGCTTCAAAGATCTGAAGGTCACTTTGTTTTCGTAATGGAATCGTATAGTTTTTTTTGTAACATAAATCGATTCCTACGTTCATTCTGCGTATAAAAGTACCAGAGTAAGATCGCTGAGAAGTGAATACTTTTCGAGACACTTTACTTCTTAATCATATTGAAGAAACATCAGGATAAAAAGGATGAAATATCTCGGAAAATAATCACTTTTTGATGATCTTACTCTAGTACTTTTACACGCGGAAGAGTCGATTTATCTTAAAAAAAAAAAAACAAAGGCGACCTTTAGATCTCTGAAGCTACTTCACCTGCAAAGAAAGCGTTACAATCACAAACCGACTTCTGTAGCATGTAATTTCTATTAAATACATTTTCTCTTGGTCTCATAGTTTCGAAGATATTCAAAGTGGTAACCTTTATCGCCTCGCCTTGTATAGTGCAATCAACGTGATACGATTATCGTCGCGACGATGATGACATTCAGAGAGCGATGTGAAACATATTCTTTGTGTGTACTTTTGCATAACGTAGCATCGTTAACATCCCGAGTAGAAGACGCGAGTTGCGAGTGTGTACCGTCGAACTGGCGCGCGATAGTGTTAATTAAACGTAGGGTCGCGCTACGGCAAACACGTGTCCGACGGTGTCGCGGGCTCTCCGTTGTCCCTCCGTCACTGATCTGCGCGCTCCCGTTTTTCCCCCCGTCGAACTTTAAGCTGCCAAGACTGTGTGTCGACGGGACGATCCCACGAACCATGCAAGCGAGTTAGTTTGAGTTGCAATTCGGCTTTTGGATATGCAAGTAATTGCGTACCGGTGACCGTGTTTCTCTTGATCCCGCCGCCGCCGAGGATACGCTTCACATGGTTGATTTTGCAATTTTGCAGTCAGGGCAAGGGTAGATTCGGCGTCACCAGGAGCTTCATCGCTACCAGGAGCGGGCTTCTGCGTTGGCACGAGCACCAGCAGAACGACGACAGCACCGACGAACCGTGAGCTCACTTACGTCTCTAGACAGAAGCTAGATTTTCTTAAAAGCCAGATATCGCATAACCGCGTTAAGAAAAGAATGAGAAAGAAAAGAAAGGAGAATGTCGCACTGGGAGAAAAATATAATTATTTTCGGGGACAACAATACTCTTGTTGTTTTTATTTCAACCACAAAAATAATAGGAGCAGCATGCTCGTAAGATGGTTATCACTGACACTATAATAACACTTACTAGAAAAATAATTATCTTGGCCATTTTTGTGTGGTTAAAATAAAAGGAAGATATTGTCGTTTCCGAAGATAACGATATTTTTCTCTCAGTGCGTCAGCCGCGGTCCTCGTCGGTCACGAGACGGGAGATGATGCGCGACTTGCATGGCGAATCGATGAAATCCAGATGCAGTTAAACACAATCGGCACTCTAACGATTTGTGCGCAGGCTGTTCGCGGAAAGGCACGCGAGAGCCATGGACTCGTCGTGGTACAAACGCGCGGTGGATCAACACTCCATAGAACCGGAGAGCTTCGTCTTCAGCGTACCGTTCGATGCGGGTGAGTACTGAACGACCACCGTGCATACATTCTCGGAGAATCGCTCGGAGTAAAAGTAAAATCAAAGTTAAAGTGTTCCCCGTCAGTCAAATTAACACATTCAAGCTCGAACCTTCACCTTTCTGATTAGCCCGCCTCATTAGACCATGCGACCTTCAGCTAAATGCTAAAACGGACTTGCAGCCATACCGTCACGACCGATGGAATGACTTTTATATTTTCGCGATTTCAAATTTACCTTTACATATCGCAAGATCAAACCGCGCTTAAATCCTCACGGATTTAACCTCTACGCCTCTGAGTCTCGCGTGTTACATTGTGCGCGCGTATTGTGAGGATTATTCTCGATTTTCTTAGCCGATACGGCCGATCCGCTCGTCACCGCGACTCACGCGGTGTTCTACGGCAAAGGCCACAAGGCTCCGGCGGCGGTGGTGGGCTTGCAGTTTCAGCATTCGTCCTTGGCGACTCACTTCGTCAATATCACATCTACGGTAGGTCGATATTCTCCCTTTCTCTCTCGCACATCTAACCCTGGAAAGGTCAACGGAGGGAGGACTGGTCCCAAGCTGCTTTCGTTTCGGTTTTTTTTTCTTTAGCAATGTTACGGCAGTTGCCTCGCGACTTTTCCTAACTTTTTCATCAAACATCAGACAGAAATAACGGAGATACGGGAAAGGCATTGGGGTCTGATTGACCGCAATGGACTTCGGTGCTAGTTGGAAATGGTGGCCTTTCCCATTATCAAGCGATGAATGCGCTATGCGTGTGACGTCATGTCGCGTCACGTATTCGTTTTGCAGTGCACCGGTATGGCGGGCTGCAAGAAGAACTGCGCGTCGGAGGAGCTGGATTGTTACATTCTGGACAACAACGGATTTATCATCATAAGCGAGCGTCACGAGCACACCGGCAAGTTCTTCGGCGAAATAGACGGGACTATAATGGACTCCTTGGTGCAAGACAGGATTTACAGGTAAGGTGACTGAAGACTCGCGCGTTTGCACGCAACTATCGAAGTACCTTGAAGCAGTCAACGGCTTAAATCTCCTCCCGGTGAACTTTCAGGAAAGTAACCGTCATCGATTATCAAGGAACTTGTAGCCCGCAAGAGTCTCACCAGTCGTCGGCGCCGCGAGCATTGTCCAGCTTTATCATCAAGATAACAGCCACGTTCGGCAAATTTCTCTGGACCTTGGCTTTAAGCCTCAATTTTCAAGACCTGTGGCAGACAGTGTCGGCGTTCGCCAACGACGCGATGCACTCGTTAGACGGTAAAGATGCTTGAAAGATGCGTTTGTTCTCACGTTGCAGTGCGAGTGAAGGTGTCGCGAGCGCTCCGATATTCTCGCTCGGAGTTATCATAGTTGATGACTTCTTCATGATTTGCAGTAAAATTACAGTAAAGTCACCATAAAGTTGGCGGATTACAGTAAAATGACAGCAAACTGACCGACTTTGTAGTAAAGTTGCATGACTTAAAAAACTTTTCCGAGCTGTAACAAACAGAGCTCGAAAGGAGCGCTCGTTTCATTATGCTCGCATGAGCGTGTACGGCGGTCGAGAATGCATGGACGGGATTCTCTCGCAGACGATCTGGTGTTCAACGACGACGGGGAGTCGCGAGACGCCGAGACGTCCATCGACTCGACGGACGAGGCGACGCCGGACGAGAACAACGTGTTCGCGAGGTTCCCAGCGATCGCGCCCGCGACGCCCGCCTCGCCGCCGACCACTCGAGCCACGTCCGCGCATTACCCGCCGCAGAAGTTGCGCACGTGCGAGAAGAAGACGGATCTGTACATCTTGCAGCCGGAGAGACTCAACACCAGCGGCCAGAGCAACCCTCTCAAAGGGAAACTCACCAATTGTCACGTAACCGGATGCGAGAGGTAATCCCGAGGCAATCTTGACGTGTCGCCGAATAAAATTTCTTCGGTGATCGAGCGATGGCTTTCCCGAAATTATCAAACGGACGCGCGAAATTAAATTCCATCGGATTCGATTAACTTAAATCTCGTGAAATTACTTTTCGTCCGATTCAATTGGATTTAATGAAATTAATTTCGGGAACATGTCACCCGAAGTGTGATTTCATTACTTCCGAAGGTATTCGACTTTCTCATTACAGCTCGATATCTACGTCACTTATCATGAACTTTTCTTTTTTTAACAAACAGATTTTATTCTATTTATTCAATTTTTCTTCCTTTATTTACTTCACCGTGAGTCCAAGTGAGTTTGAACCCAGGAGGCTGGTAGTAAATCCATCTTAGAATTTAACACGATACTGAGATGAAAATATTCGCGCCTGCCGTTTTCTCACGGAGCCGTCAATGCGAGGAGACTTCCGCATCGGTTCGAGACGTGAGAAATTTCCGCTTCACGATTTCTCGCGTCTAGATCCGCGTGCGAGGAACGACTTTTTAATCGAACTTTGCTCGTCCGCTTCACCGCAGACCGTTCAGCGTCCAGAAGATCCGCCACACGAATCTGATACTGCTGGTCGTCGACACGCTGTGTCCGTGCGGCAGCAAGCAGCTCAGTATCGAGCCCATAGAGGCTCTCACGGAGCCCGGCGCGTGTACAGCGAGACGGGAGCGCCTTTACCGGCGAAGACCACCGAAATGCATCAACTACCACCCTGAAGAGATGGAGATCAAATTCTGCGGCGGCGCGTGCCGCCTATTTAATTTCTCGTCGTTGAGTCTTATGGTTCTCTTATCCATCGTTACAGTGCGGCTTGCGTGACTCTGTCAGGATTAATTGCGCACACGTTTACAAATTTACCTTTTTAAAATGGATTTAGCGTTGTCGTTTCTATGAAACAGTTACATAAAGAGAAGAGAGAGCAGCAGGTAATAAGAGCGAAAGAGAGGGAGAGAAAGAAAGAGAAAGAGAGAGGGGGAGAAAGAGGGAGAGAGAGAGAGAGAGAGACCAGTGTGCTAGGTTCGCGAATTACATTATACTACGTGAGGGTGGTGAAATATATATACATACACATACATTATATATATATGTTACGTATGTTACATATCCGATTATAAATTCTGTTACGCGAGAGTCCTGAATATTTATGTGTGTGCGGTCTCGCACGCGCGTCGAAATTTATCCTCGATACCGGACAAAGCAATAAGTGCCCCAATATAAAACACGAAGTGTAATAACGCGAGACGATCGCGAGAGAGAACGGGAGATTATTCGAGATTTGCGTGGACGCGGAGTCGGTCGCTCGGTTCACGACACACAACGTCGTAGCGGTCGTAGCGATGCGCGAGGCAATCGACGAGCGGTCGTGCGAGAGTCCTTCCGACCTTTGACAGCGGCCGCCGGGGAGGTCGCCCTCCGGTTTCCCTACCCCCGGCCGCGCTTCCACGTCCGTCGTTCTCACGAAGGATTGCTCGAGAAGGTTTCATTTCTCCGGCGCGATTCCCTCCTTCATAGCAACAGAGAGACCCGCGCCCCCTCGTCGGCCGTGTCCGTAGACCATCGCCTCGAACGAGGCGAACGTTCGTCGCGCACCTGAGCTCTCTCTCCGATGCTCTCCGAGCGTCCGCCACGTACAAAAGAGCGCGAACGCCCGGTGAAGCGTACTACCTCGACGCGCTTTTGAATCTCGCTCATTGCATTTCCGTCGCTTCGCAGCGGCTGATCGCGTACCCGACCGACCGGGCAGGCCTAAGTTCGAACCGCCGATCCGAACGCGACTGAACGCGGTTCACCCGACGAAGAGCGGATATTCGGAAGCGTAACGGAGGATACCGCGGCGTGCTCGTCACTCCGAGCATTCGCGAGCGCATTCGCGAACACCGTTCGATGCCGGGGATTCGCATTGCCACCGGAACCGCTTCCTCGTCGAACGTATGCAGCTGCTGCGAGAGTATTACATATCCAGTCTCGTTCTCGCGTCTTTCTCCCGCCGGGAATGCCGTGCGATCGCACGTGTACGCATCAACGTACGAATCAGTACGACGGCTTGCCTATTCCTTTTTCTACACGGGGAAAAATATGACTCCACTGCTAAGAAAAGCGCGATTACTCCGTTTACTTTCCTTTGAGCGACGATTATCCCCAGCGAAGAATTTGGTTTGCAATAGTCTAAAAATATACTCATCACAAACCTGAGATAAGCTCATTATCGCGTATTCAAAAGAAGAATTTATTCTCTTTCGAAAGTTCAATTCGGTTATTCTGAATAAACCAAATGCGAAGTTTGTGTTTTAATTTAATTAAAATTGATTGAAATATTAAACTAACTAGGATTCAGAATATATTTTGAGTGAATTCGATGCCTTATATGATGGAGTTGTGATATATGTGCGGATGGAAACTTACGAAGTGCTTGAAATAAGTAACACTTGAGAATACAGAATATGTATTGTTCTGTGTGTAGCAGGCACACGCGCTCGGACGCAGACTCGGCACGAGTCCGTTCTGGGTTTGCGCGCCTGCCGACGAGGGCAACCCGTCACGCTGACCCGTGCGTTGACGCAACGCACAGTTTCACAGCGGGGAGCAAAATATCGCGTCTGAGTGCGCGATTTTGCGATCAGCGGCGGATTCGTTCCGGTGTAAATGCGAATCAGCTGCGGCGCGACTGTCCCTCACACCTCCGGCGAGGTATTGTCGTACCTCCCGTGAAAACGGGAGATTCGCCGAGAAGAGTCTCCCCCCTTTTCCCCGATCCCGTCGTACTCGGATCGAGTGTTTTCGTCGCGACGTAGACTGATACCGGGAATCGCTTAAAAAACTAGTTCAATAGCGCAAACGAGTGATGAGGATAATCAAAATAGCAGAGCAATAAACGAGAGAGAGAGGAGAAGCCGTTACCGTGAAGAGAATTAATTAATCGGTTCGCGCGCGGGCGAGTCGGGGAAATCGACGTCGTTCGGTTCCACCACCGAGACGGCCGAGCAATGAACTTCCCCGGGACGTGGCCTACGGAGGAACGATCTGACTCGACTACACTCCGCGTTGGCATCGCCATCCACGTCGTCTCACGTAACACCAAGCTCGACGATATGAATTCTGTCATTCACGCTCGATGAGTTTTCTACACGCGACCAGAGTCGCTCTCCCGCCGGGGAGAGCGCGGTCGATTATAATTCGGATTCCGCTGCGAACGCGACGATAAATATCTCGGCCTAGCAGCAGCATCGACGTCCCTACGTCGTTATGTCGAACGACGACGCGTCTTTCGGTTGCGTTAATTACGGGTTGTACAATCTCGGACAGAGAGAGAGAGAGAAAGAGAGAGGTTCTCCGTCTTCTTCTTCGTCAATCAGTCAGGATTACTTCGCGCCATCTCCGTCTCTTCGACGCGATTGCCGGTACCGAGTTCGTTCTTCCGGAAGAAGGAGAGCGATATTTCCGAGAGAGCCGGCGCATCGCACGAACTTTTCGCGCAGAGTCGCGGGCCACTACCTGTGAGAGATCCGCGTGCTACCTCGCATCGCGGCACTCCCGACACTCGCGACGACCGTGTCCGTTTCTAAGATCCGTTTCTGAGAATATTAAATAATCGTATTATTCGAAACTCGACTCAAATGAGATACTCGGCTCGGGATTTAGAGTTAGATCCGAATTTGCCGGTCGAGTCTCGCGGTCCGCACACGTGTGACGTTACGTTTGCTCTCGGTTCAACGGTAAAGTTCAGATCTAACTTTCAACTGAAATCTGGGCCTGTATTAACAGTTGTCACTTGAAACTCGTCTCGTGTGAAATATTCAGTATCTAATTCAAAGTTAGATCCGAGCTTGAATCGTATGGTGTACTTGACATTACGTCTGTGAACGCTGTTCAACTTAAGAACTCATATCCGGCTGTGATTTCAAATCTGAATATCTTATCTGAGACAGGTTTCGAGTACAAACACTTTTAATACGGTATCTTGGTATCTCACGGCCGCTAATACGGGTCTTAAGCTTGATATTAGTAATTGTCACTTGAAACTTGTATCTCAAGTGAGTGATACTCAGACGTGAATCTCCAGTTAGATCTGAAATTTTCAGCTGAGTCGCAATCACAAGTGATGATGTCAATCAGGTGTGTATCGTAAAGTTTAACTGAGGAAAATTCAGACCTAACTCTCTCCAATTAGTTCAAATCCGAGTATCTCACGCGAAGTTTCAAGTAACGTCTATTATAACACAGGCCTGAAACTTTTAAATCAAATTCTCGATGGAGACGCTTGAGATGCCCGCCGAGTTTTACATCGGCGTAGCTTTCGCGCCCTGAGGCAAAGAGAGAAAGAGAGAGAGAGAGAGAGAGAAAAGCCACCCGAGGCTCGATGCGCTATAGAAATTTTCCATCCGTGTCACAAACGCACACGTATATACGGGAATTACGTTGCTCCAGAGGCGAAAACCAAAACAACCAAAAAAAAAAAAGAAAAATTGTACGATAAAAACAAATAGCGCAGAAGACGCGTAAATCCGTTTCGTAAAGTAAGGCGCGAGTTAGCCTCATTTTTACGACCTAATGTTAAGAGTAACGTTACGGCACCCTTGCTTCTTCTGCAGATAATATACTATGTTACGCGTGTGTGAGTGTGTATGTGTATGTGTGTGTGTGTGTGTATGAGAAAGAGAGGAGAGGGAGAGAGATAGATAGATCAAGAGAAAGAGAGAGAGAGAGAGAGAGGAATTCACCTTGTAAATTTTTGCCACGTGTCTCTCCACGCATACTTCGGTGCTCCCGCAGAATCGCATAGAGCTGTACGATACATATCGATCGATCAAGAACCGAAATCACGGGGAACGGAGAACGCGACGCTTGGAGCAACGAAATAATTGATAAGGAGCCAACAGTCGGAATCTAAGTGTAATCTAATATCCGTCGCTTCTTGTTCGAGCCGGAGGGGAGAACGTGAGAGCGAGGGAGCGACGACGTTCCCCTCCAGCGAGAACAAGACGCGACACCCGGGAGAAACATTGTAGTTCGTTACACACCGCGCGTGTATCCACGATGACGGACACGGAGAAAGGGGAACGAGAATGGAGCAAATCGCGTCTTGCATTTTCATTCCAATTGATATTTATTCACTATCGTTCGAATTCAAAACGCGTGCGAGCGTGAGAAAGGTAGAGAGAAACAGAGAAACAGAGAGGGAACCATCGAGTTCTCCGCGAAAAACGTCACGGAGGAAATTACGATCGCGAGACGGACCGATCGATGCGAATGTGAGAAGGGCGCGCTAATCACGATTAGCCGATTAGCGTAGCGGCTGATCGCCACCCTCCCCCCTCCCACCCCCCC